AAGGTCTTTTCTAGCGCCCTTTAAACTAGTCTCCTTCTCAGCCGCTCGTGCCTTCCTAGTGGATGGTACAACGCAAYAAGCGATAGTTTATGAARTAAAACATTAGGAAAGGAGGCCAGYATACTGCAMTGAATCCAAAGTGTATKTTAGGCATACTCCAATGAAACATCGTCAAATGTAAGTACCAAATACACTTATTTACTGACTCTACGTTGTTCTAAATRTCGTAGGGTAAAATCATAACAGTGAAAGTTATTAGTGGAYATGAAAAATGGCTGGCCGGTTTCTGCTCACATTACCAAGAAATAACACATTATATTTGGACCCAATAAAATTTTGTGAGCGGAATTCTTCGATTGACAGTGACAAAAAATGGATGTTAGCCTATGTTCAGTTTGGCATATATATGTTTTCTTAAATATCATACGTTTGACATGTTCTTACTGTTTTCGTGACTTTATTGTGTTCTATGACTATCATTAGGATATATGAACACGAGAATTTTGCATACGCTAAATCGCTTCGGCGATTTATTGTGTTCTAGGACTATCATTAGGATATATGAACACGAGAATTTTGCATACGCTAAATCGCTTCATTTGAATGTAAGGTCGCCTTGAAAAATATTTGCTTCAACAAAAAAAAAAAAAAAAATTGAATCGATGAAATTTAGAATGTCAATACATATTTAGGATACAATTGAACTTCTAAGAGTAAATGGTTTGAACCCAGGTATTGAAGTATATTGCGAAGTTTGATCGTCCGGGTCAGTGTAGTCTTGAGAAAATAYGAACTTCATTATTTACCATGTCAGACCAAATAGAACTTTCCCGACTTCCAGGTTCGCGTGCTTAAGTGACCATGAAACACTAATGTTTCCAAGTTGAGATTGAACGACTGGATGAATATTGTAATTGTATTWATAACATTGTATTTATAAAGTTGATCATGTTAGCCGGGTTGTATTTTAATTTGGCTTCAAGAATGTTATAATCGTGGATGTTCATTTTTCTACTACCCTCCGGCTTGCTAAAATATCCTGATTTTCGATTAATTCGGTAGAACTTCATTCAAGAAAGATCGATTTTCGTAACTCAACACAATTTAAAACGCCTATTCGTTCTTTAGTGAATTGAAGATAATGGGATATTTCGCACATAAAAAGATAATGTTAAAATGGCTCTTTATTATCGCATGGATCTGAGGCAAACAACATACTGTTGATATACATGGCGGCACCCGGTTTGTCATTATATAGTCAAACTATTCGAAGGAACGGATGCAAACAGCTCTCTTATGGATCAGTTATTTTGATAATCATACACTTTGCCTTTCACTGGGGCTTCCTGGGGAAAAACAGATGTCGAAGATGGTATCCCATAATTTTTAATAGCGGCGGAGCTCCCGCGAGGACGGAAGTCCTGCGTAWGAAGAGCACCATACTTRAGGTAATTCCGCCTTGAAAGAMRTTTTGCCAATAACTTTGTCCTGAAACTTTGCATGRACWTTAATTRTRTTATGGRCATTTAAAAACTGCAATAAAAAGATGGAGTCACCATTCTCRCTTCTTCGCTAGATGCTCTYCAAATATGTCAATTTATGGGTTTTATGGTGAAA